GTCCCAGGACTATTGGGCGGGGCTAGGGTGTCTCTCTACAGTTTCCCCTTTCCCAAATGTCTCTAGCTTGTGTTAAGTTGGCATAAATCTAGCCAGTACACAAACAAAGCAAAAACTAAATCCAGGTGAGTTTACTAGGCCCCGTGTTGAAATACACGGATAAGGCTGGCTTCAGGCACAGTAATTAAAGGGTTCCTGCCCTTCACTGTAAGCAGCAAGACGACCCAGTTTCCAGTCCCCATACACCATGTGCCTCTGTATAACCTAGGATGTCTGGACAGCTGTTGTAGACTGCATTACCATGGCTACCCCTGCAGGATCCCTCCAGGGAGCTTTCTGTTCTCTCTGACAGGATAAATGGTGCCCAGTCCATATTCTAAAGCAAGGGCAACTTTCTCCCCCCCCCATTCACATCCAGACCCTCCCTCCCCTTCTTCCTGGGGGGCTTTGGGGCCACAGCTCTTCTGTGTTTGGTCAAGATGTATGCATCCCCAGTTGGCTTTTAGAACTAGTTCTCGGAAGTAGACAGGCTGACGTGGGGATACTTGGGAGGTCAGGGCAGATGTGGACCTAGAGCTGCTGCTGTGCAGTTGGTCAAAGGAAGAACGCACATGCCCGTTCAGTTTTCCTCGAGGGCCAGGGAAGCAAGACAGGGAGGGAGAAGGCCTGGCCTGGAATCAAAGCTGTGAGAGAAGCTACTTCTAGACCAAGTCAAGCTCAGACTGCAGGAGGGAGGGGCACCTGAAAAACTCACCTCCACCTGAATCGGAAGCCAGGGGCTCTCAGGGAAGTTTTTCTGAGTCTGGTTTGTGTCATTGCCAACTGATAGGCCCACACACACCACGAAAAATCTGCCACATTCTTCAGAAATTAGAAACACCAATTTTGGGAAAGCTTGAGAGGTAAAAGCTTCCAGGATGATGGAGAGTTGTGCGAGAAGAGTTTCAGTGAGTGCGCCCCACATATGGCTTTAGATTAGAAGCCGGGAGATTAGGGCACCATGCAAATGTGCAGAACATAATGGCTTGCACTTTAGCTCTGGACAGAATTACCAATGCGCTCCCCCATCCCATTATCAGGCCACTGGGTGAGGCATTCACACGAAGAAAGAACGGATGCCTACATCTATCTAGCACTGTAGCAATGGTGGAGGCAGCAGCTTCCAGCTGGATGGCTCGTCAGTGCCTCCTTTGTGACACACTGCATGCTTTCTCAGCTGGGGTATAACTTTAACCACGAGTCCCCACATAAGCAGCAGTAATAAATCACAAACAAACAGCAACAACAAAAACAGAGGTTTCTTCTGACCCTACTCTTGTAGCTCTTCCATCTCTTGGGGCCTGTCAGAAAATGTTATAGAGTTGAGGGACTGGAAACCTTGCTGAAGTCCCCTAGCATCTGGCTAGTGCTGTACTGCTGGAATGAAAAACAAAACAAAACAAAAACAAAAACAAAAAACACACACACATCAGATTTCTGCTGGCGATTCTGCCTAGGGCTAGCAGACGGGGGAAGAGTAAGACTGAGAGAGCCAATGATTTCTCAGCAAGGAGAAAGAGCCTTGACCGCCGACCAGTGCATGAGCATGGGTTTAGCTATATGACCCCTAATATTTGAAACCCAGAGGAAGCGACCATGCTTCCAGAGTTGTAGCTGTACTTCTTAGAGGCACTCCAGCCAGGAAGGAACGTACAAGAAACAGCTGGAGCCCAAACAAAATTCATGGTGAAGTCAGCTGAAGACTCATTTGATGACATCGAACATCAGTCGATGTAAAACACACAGGGTAAGATGTGGGTCAGTGCTGGGAGTTTAGAAGGCTCACACAGCCAGGCAGGGTGGTACGTGGGCAATCCCGGGACTGTGGGAGTCTGGGAGGAGGATCACAGCTCAAGGACAGTCAGAGCAGCTTAGTGAAACTCAAGATTCCAAATGACATTTAAAAAAAAGTTGCAGATATAGCACAGTGGCACACACACACTGTGGCATGGGTGTGTGCCCATGCAGTTGTGACACAATGAGATCTCAGATTTTTGGTTTGTCTCTTCTTGCTTTACAATACGATCTATAGAACCAGCAAAATGGCATTTTCTTTGATGAGGTGACAGGTGCATCCTATACACAGTGCAGCACTCCAACCTGTGACCTTCTGACTTCAAGATGCCTGAAGCTTTTCTTTTTTTTTTTTTTTTTTTTAATGCCACCGAGGGCGGGGCTGTGATAACAGAACAGAGAGCCCCAGCTGTGATGCTACACAGGTTCTGTCTCTGAGGTGCACATGGCTCTTGGTCCTCGTTTCAAGATGGTGGAGCAGCCTGACCAGAAAGGGACAGGGGGAAAGGCACTATCTATGATCACTGCGTTGCTTTGAGGGAGTTCTTTCTCAGGGCATTTGCATACTAACACACACTCTTCGAACACATTTTATGCATGTCATTTGTTTTCCATGTCAGTGACTTAAGGTTTTCTGTGACCATTTTAGGGAGAGAGCTCCAGGAGTAAGATGAACCCAATAATGTAACTGCTCCTCACTGCACACGAAGCTGATGAAATAATCTGTCTGCAGCAGGCCCTTCAGACGCACTGTGTTCAGTCAGCCTCAATTTAGGCCAAGACAGTTTCTGAATATTAAGACAAAGGAAAGTAAGTAAAAGCCACAATAAACCTTCTAGTTCAAACATCCAAAGTGCCCCCAGCTCCTCTCCTGTGGAGAAGCCTTCACTCCCTGCAGCTGGGCTGACCACAGCTCCACAGAGGACAGGGGTGAGAAGTGAGAGCTGGAGGCGTCTCCTCACGACGAAGTTGATGTTCTTCCACACACAAAGGACACCCCACGCAGGACCACAGCCACCAGGAGACTAAACATGTGAGAACAGGGAGGATCTTTTAATTGGAGGAACTGAGTCTGGGGAGAAGGATTCGCAGTTCACGCAGCTTGCCTTTAGCACGAGGCAGCGTCCCCGAATTCCGCCCTCGTGATGCCCCCTGATCCAGCTGGCACGGCCATTGTGCACGTGGCATTGCCTCCACACCTCTCCACAGCACATGAACAAACTCGGAATCCAAGGCTGCTGCCATCCTTCACACAGTTCTCCCTAAGGCCATGTTTCCCAGTGGCATCCATACTAGCTGCTCTCACCTTCTTCCCTTTCCTCTACCGCCTGGATACCCCAGTTTCCCCCACATACACAGCAGTTTCCCAGGATCCTTTGCTGAATCATCTGACAACTTTTCTTGTACGCTCAGTACAAGTACGCTCAGGTGAGTACTGCTCAGGATGAATGCTGAATGTCACTGGCTACCTATCTATCCAGCATCTCAAAGTCAGTGTACACAAAACCAGAATCTTTACTGAACACCTGTTCTTCCACTTAGGTAAATGTTGTCACCAGATCTACCCAAAGCCCCGGTCATTCTGGGTACTCTCACTGGCCTTGTCTGCCACTGGTGCCTCTAAAACACACATCCACCAGGTCACTGCTCCACAGGGACCCTCCCTCTGCACTGCACCTCTGCTCTCTGCCTGCAGCCCATTCTGGAAACATCAGCAAGCTCAGGATGCTTGCACGCTGAGACTAGCTAGCTTCTGAGGAACATGGTCAAAGCCTCTCTTGATTCCTGGTTCTGCCACTTATGCTCCCAAGGCTCAACAAGGCTCTTTCCAGCCCCCAAAGCCTTTGAGCTCCCTAGTCTGCCAAGCTGAGCACATGTCAAGCTTAGTCTTGATGTCTTCCAGTTAGTTCAGAAATCGTGAATGGAGCCTGCTGCATTACTGCTTACGGTCTATAACAGGCTTGGACATTTAACACTGTCCCTGCTAAGTACAAGCTCTTTGAGAGCAGGTGCCATGTCCACACTACAGGAACAACTAGGCTGGCTGGCTGACCATAGTTTGACTTCGGAGACACTCGGGCACAGTGACCTTGGGCTTAAAGGCAGGGCTCTGGCTCCTAGCTGACCAGGCTTTACCAGTGCTCTAGTTGTCTCTTCCCAACAATGGAGAAGTCATCCTGGGGAGGTGGGGCACAGTTAAGAGTACAGGCTGGGCACCGGCCATGGCAAGGGCAGCGCTGCACAAAAGCACTAGACAGTCTTGCTCCCTTGGGTCTGCCGGGCTTGGTCTGCTTCTGCTCTGGCTTTTGCCTCCCAGCATGGTTCAGGCCCAGTGCTGGGGAAAAGGGGTGGTGGGAATAGGAGGATGCTTATTTAGAAGCAATCGACAGCAGAAGTGCCCTAGGCAGGCAGGCCTCTGACCAGAGGGATAAGGTAGCTCCTCGGGATGCCATGCACAATGGGTTGCTAAAGGATTAATTACTAGATTGGGCCACCCTTCCCACTGATTCCTAATACTTGGTTCTCTTCAACAGGGGTTGGAGAGGGAAGCTTCTGTTGTCACAGCAACCTTGGTGCTCCTGGTGCCTAGACCAGAGGCTTCAGATAAAGGTTTATAGCACCAGAGCACCAAAGAAGCAAGGATGGAACTAGGGAAAAAAAATGGCAAGAAGTTATCCTACAAGTGCCGTGTGTACTCCGAAAACAACATCCAGGAGCAGAGAGCAGTGGTGGCTTCTTGCTGGGCAACAACAGAACAAAAGGCCCCATTGACAGCACATCTGTTACCACTAAATGCAAAGCAATCAATATTTTCCTACAGAGTTCCCCATCTTTGGCTTTAAAGGGTTACTGTCTGCCAAATTGCTGAACCCTAACCTTCTTCATGTCCACAGTCACCACATAAAGTGACTATTAGAACTTCAAACCAAAACTTTAGTCCCTCATGTTATTTTTTTCCCCCTTGAATAGAGACACCAGGTGAATCTCAGAAGGCAAATCACAACCCACACCCTGGAAGACTTGGAACATAGCAGTCATGTCCCTGGGAAGGTGAGGAACCCAAGCCCTGTTGGATTTTAAAGGAAACAGTAGATTTGGTCAGCCAGCAAGGATGTGTCCATAAGGTGGCTGGGGGAGGAGGTGGGAAGCCAGCTTTGGCGTCTTACCTCAACACCTGCATTTCCTCTGGGGAGTTCCGCAGCTCATCCTGCAGGCGACGCCAGCGCAGGCAAGCCCTTAGCTCTTGCTGCTCCAGGGCCTCATGTGGGGGCAGCTACATGGGGCAGACACACAAACACATAGGCAAAGTGGAGTCATTGTGTGGGTCGGGCTTTGCTTAGCAAAGGACTTACTTTGTTCCCTGGGGGACAACAGGGCCTGCCCTCCTTCCCTGTGCTCTCCAACACAAGAGGGCTGAATGATGGATGCTCTGAGTTCTTCAAAGGAGCAGCAGCAAGGGAGGGAGCCCTACAAAGCCCTTGTGCTGGTGGGCACGGCAGCCCTGTCTGCAGGGTCCCCGGCCCTGGAACCTGCTCCAGTCCAGAACACACACCTGAGAAGGGGGCTTCCCCACAGGCCATTTCTCCTTTGATTCCATCCAGCCTTCTTTCCCGGCCTTGTGTTTCTGCATGGGGAGGGGACAGGCTCCTCCACTTCCCTCTTATCCCCCCCACCCTCAATTTTGTTAAGGACTGTTTATAGTGGAGCCTGCTAATGTAATCCAGATGACTCTGTTTGCATAGATCCAGAAAAAAAAAAAGTATACTGTCTGGACTCAATTTGGAGGCAGGGGAGGCCATCACACTGCCCCACAGAGTCAGAACTGGCTGCTGTCACATGGACCTGCTCACAAGGCCACATGGCTGGGATCTCCATAAAGAAGGCAGGAAGTGAAGCACAATGCAGGGAGGGAAACGGGCAGGACACGCATACATTTTCAGAAGTTACAGTTCTCTGATGATGCAGTCGCCAAATCTCTCTGCACGCCCTGGGGTCATTATGGAAGACTGAGCCACCATGAAGAGTGGTATGTGGGGGCACCCATCTCAGACTGGGGGCAACATGCAGCTCCTTGTCATGAGGGGAGGTGCGGGGCCAGAAGACTTCCCAGGGTAGGTGGTGATGCCTGAGCTTGCAGGGGCGGAGACTTCAGGAAGTGAGAGAGCAGCAGTGGTTTGGAAAGAGTGTTCTTAGAGAATGGTAAGGGGCATGGATGAGCTGGGATCAGACAACCAAGGCAGGGAGGGAGAGTGGCAGAGGGGTCAGAGGTCAGTAGACTGCTCCACAAGACAGGCTCATTGAAGAGTGAGCTTAACGTGCGTGCATTTGGAGACAAGACCTTTCAAAAGGTGATCATGGTTAAACAAAGCTTTTAGAGGAGACCCTGAGCCCTCAGGGCTGTGGTCTTACGAGAGGGAGACCCTGGACCTCTGGAAGAGTGACCATGTGAGACAAGAGTGAGGGACAGCTGTCGGCAGCCAGGACAAGGGCCACCCCAGAAGATCCATTATGTTGGTCCCTGGGTCCTGTCAGCTTCTTGAGCTGTTTATTCAAGCCACCCCTCTGGAGCTGGACGGTGGCAGCCCAGGCAGATTTGCAGAGGTGTGGAAGGAGCACAGCCATGTCCGGTCGTTCAACCTGGCAGCTTCCTCACTTCTTCCCATGGCTACTGCTTGGGGTGGGGGTGGGGGTGGGGTGCAGCATTGTTCTCCTCCTCATTCTGTGACTTTGTACACCTCTTTGCTGGGCTTTTGGGCTCAGTGCTGTGGCACCTACCTCCTCAGGGCCATTGCATTCTGTACTACTCTGGGCCTCGCCTGGTCCTCGGGCAGGAAGACCTGAAAGGGAGATTTATCAGGCTGGCCCTCAGGAGACAAAGGGTCAGAGTGATGGACCTTCTCCAGAAACCTTCCTGAACTCTAGTGGGGGGGGGGTGCTCTAAAAAAGCTGCTTGCCTGAGGAGCCTTGGCGTTCTCGTATGTTGAAGTTAATGCTTACACTGGGAAAGGAGATGAGAGGCCACCCTTATGGAAGGTTATGGGGGACAGGAAGGGTGGAAAAAGACCAGGATGCTTTCCCTAAAGCCACAGTGGCAGGCTCCTCTTCCATGAGGCTTTCTGGCCTCACCCTCTCTGTCTCTCTGTCTCTCTGTCTCTCTCTCTCTCTCTCTGTCTCTCTCTCTCTGTCTCTCTCTCTCTCTGTCTCTCCCCAATGATGGGGAATGTACTTCTTTGTGTTTACCTTATTGATTGTTGAATAAAATACTGTTTGGCCAATGGAAGCAAGGACCAGGAGTCAAAGAAGATTCTGGGAAATGTAGTAGAGAAGTGGTGATCCAGGCAGGAAGTGACATGGCAAGGAGACTCATATCTAAGCGAGGAAACAGGAAGTGTGCTATCTTTCCCCTCTGCTCCTGCTCCTGTGGCACAATGTGATCCACCGACAAGGAGGGATGCCAATAAGGCATCCAATAAGATAAGTCTTATAACATATATAGGTTTATGATAATTGAGACTGAGCTAACAGATGAGAATCCTAGTCATTGGCCAAGCAGCTTTAAACCTAATACAAGTTTCTGTGTATTCATTTGGGCCTAACTCGGGCGGGCGGCTGGCATAAAGCTCACACGTGGTGGTGGGGCTCAGGCGGCTTTTGGCAGAAAGATTTATCGTAACACCCCACCCCCCTTCCACTGAGGGTTTCTCTTAGCCTCCACCTTTGGGCCCCATAGGTTGAACATGGAAAGGACTTGGAAGCTACACAGCAGGTGGCCCTGCCTTCTTCTCTCACCTGATAGGGACACATTTGCTTGGAACAGAGGCAGGACCCAAACACAGGCAGGATACATGGTAAAGGAGGAGTCCCCTCTTTCAAAATGAACTTAGGGGCACTATAGGGTGGCTGAAATGAACTCAGGAGCTGCCAATCTGCACAAGCTGAGGGAGAAATGAAGACAGGGCACATCTTCCCTTGATATCTCCCCCTGCAGAAGGCTGATGGGGGCAGGGTGGAAGGCAATGGGCATGTCACACACAGCTTTCATGTGTCTGGAATGTGTTAGGCTCACTCACACGTTACGCCATCCACTTTGTGAGCCTGAGTCTTCTAGACCCATCATTCCCCAAGGGGGAAACCAAGGTTCAAGGAAGGAAGCTATAGAACTGGCCTACACTCAGGAGGTTAGTGAGCGAGAGATAAGATTCAAACCCGACCAGCCCATAGCCCAGTCTCTCTCTTCCAGTCACCTGGGTAGCTTCTCAGGAGCAGGGTGTATTTTGGTACCCGATGGCTCCACGTGGGAAGAGGACAGAGGGACAAGTAAGCTGTAGACCCACTGTGTGATGATGACATGGCTTCTGTAGTGAGAATAAGGAAAGCACACAGAGGCCAGGAGAGCTGTGCTGGGAAGTTTGAGGTGTGAAACAGTTTGGGTTTCAGAGATGGGACCTCAGTCTGGCCGCAGAAACACAAAGACTTCACCAGGAAGGATGCTCTTGAGCAAAATCAATCAGTGAGAATGGACTTGGGAGTTTTAGAAAAATGGTAAGAAAGCAAGGGTGGGGACCACGTAGAAAAGAAGTGACCCTGGGATTAGAAGTAGGGAAAAAGTGGGAAACGGTTCTGCAGTCTCATGCTCAGGGGAACTGATGGTCAAGGCTCAAGTGGAGGCAGTGAAAGGGTGTTGGCTCAGTGCTTTTCACCCTAGAGGTTGAACCCAGACCCATAGGCTAAGCAGAGGTATGGCCACTGAGCAGACAGTCTCAGATCTTGAACCTCCAGTTTCAACCTATGGCCTACAGGATAAACCAATGAGCTACATTGGAAGCCCCTGATTTTTACACTTGATAAAAACAAATTGCTTCTTGTGTCACTCAAGCTAAGGCCAGTCTGATACTCACTCCATTGCCCAAGGTGGCCTCAAAGCTGTGGCAATACTCTTGCTCAAGCACCCCCACATGCTGGGAATACAAGTGTGAGCCACCATGCCTGGTTTACAGCATCTTTTCTGAATTAGTGAGCGAGCGAGCAGCACGTAGGAATACAGAAATCCTGAGTTCCCAAAACACTTGTCCCAGCCACAGTGAGCCTCCCTTTAAACATGATAACTGAATGTAGCAGAGTGGCAGTTACCAGTTTGTCATGTTACCTAATCCACAGCACTAAATGCCTTGTCCTTCATCCAGAGATTTCCATTATTTTTTAGGAAAGGAGGTTGGGGCAGAGTCTTATTGTCTGGAACTGAACGTCCTGGAATTTATATAGACTAGACTGGCCTCAAACTCCTGTCCATCTTCCAGCCTCAGCCTCACAAGTGCTGTGATTCCAGGTAGGAGCCACACCCCCAGAACTTATTAATATGTAAATCTGATTATTTAAAAAAAAAAAAACCCACATCTAGGGAAGAGTACTCACACAAGTTCCAGTCCAGCCTGGTTACACAGATACCTCCAGGCCAGCTGGAGGTACACAGACCTACAAGGATCCTGTCTCAAGACAAAAAACATTCACAGCTAATGATCCCATGACCATAACACGTGCGTATGATGCAATCCAGGAATCTGACCTTTTCTTCGTGCCTCTGCTCAGATATGTCCTTAGCAGGTCTTCTCTAACTCTGTGGCCAAGACTGACCCCTCCACCGGGTGTGGGGCTCTCAAAGTACTTATCACCACATTGCCACTGCTTTTGTTTATCTGTTCCTTCCTCCTCTAGACTGTGTACTTGGGGAGAGCAGTCTTTTTACAGTAATTATCCTGCCTCGTGCACTCAGCATGTAAGGACTGAATGAATGGGTAAATGACAACAGAACCTGATTCTGGGGAGGGGGAATTCTCTGAACCCACCTGCTGTGCTTCGGCCCAAAATACGTCTTCCAAGTGAGTGGCAAACCCTTCGCTGAGCCACTCCTCTGTCCAGTCTCGGGCCCCGATGGCTAGGCCGAACCAGGCGTGAGCAATTTCGTGGCAGAGACGGGTCCCACAGAGATGGCTCCTGCCTGTTAAGGTGCTCTGAGAGAGGAAGATGATGTGTGGGCTGCAGGTAATGGGAGAGAAAACATGAGGAGTCCTGTTAGCACCTGTCCTCGTGGCTCCCCAGTGGGGCGGCTTTCTCAGCCTGCAGGGTCTGTTATTACTGTGTGCATTGCCAGATCGTGACGGACAGATGTGGCTTCGATGCTTTTAGACCTAAATCAAGTGGCAGTTTATGCTACTGGCAGCTGTTCAGGTGGCTGTTTCTGCCAGCAGTTGTCTTCGTCATCAGGCTCCTATTACCTGTAATAAGTAACCTGCGCTAAGTTTTTATACTGAAAAAAATTACAAGGCAATGGAAACGTTTACTATGAAATCTGGACTGTAAAAGAGGAACAGGTGTGAGAATGTGAAGCCCATACTGTCAGGAGAGTGATCAAAGAAGACTGTTCAGCCAAAAATCCTAACAGCTCACAGGCAAATTGGGAAGTCATGCGGAAGGCCAGGAAGAGCTGAAAAGAATAGAACCTCAAATCTTCCATTTCACACTGGAGCTGACTGTGGAGTTAACAACCAAACAGGTGTCCTGGGTGGGGAGACTCCTGAGTAGCCCAGAGAAGAGCCCTGTGCCTACAAAACAAAGACTCTCCCTGCGAGCTGCAGGCCCTTAAGGGCTCATGTGACAAGAGAATCATGAAAGTGAAGGAGGGGCAATAACCCTCCCAGGGGTGCAAACAGCCCCGGGGCTGGCACCAGATGGGGGGAGTCATCTAATCTCATTTTCCATAGCTTCTTCTGTAGCTCCAAATACCATGATTAAAAAACTGCGTAGATGAAGTGAGAGGAGGCAGGTGTGGGAAAGGAGAGACAAACGGAATCTTCTTCGCTTGGCTTCTTCCACCTTCAGCACTGAGGGCTCATTTGTGTTCTTCCTAATGCAGAATGTGTTCTTTTAAAAAACAAATCCATGAATTAAAGCAAGTGAGTTGTGAGAACTTTCAAAGTAAGGAACTATACACACCAGTTCCTTCTTTCAAAAGCCATTTGTTTGCCATCATGTCAGCTCTGCACAAGCCAAGGATTTCTGGCCCACCCCCACAGCCACCATTAGAGAAAAACCCCACCTATATTTCCCTTACACAATATCACCCATTCAGCTCAGAGAGCTAAATTGCAATCGCGGGAGTCAGGACTGCCAAAATAGACAGCTTTCATGTGAAGTAATAACAGGGTAGGCACGCAAATGAAAAAGCATCTGCCAGGCTTTCCGGAAAGCCCACAGAAACCCCACATATTAAAAGCAGAGTTGACGCGCTGAGGACAAAGGGGTGCGTTGCAACAGGCACTAAGAATTGAGCAGATTACTAGCTCAGACAAAAATGTAAGTAGGAAGGCAGGGAGGGAACCTCCAGGCACAGGGGCTGGCCTCACCTTTAACCTTACCAAGAGAGAAAAATGGCACAACCTGGCATTCTCAAATGAAAGACCCCTGGCTCTGCCAAGTGTGATGCTACACGGAAAGCCACAGAAATGCAAAAGTAAATAACATTCCAGACATACTGCTGGCAGCAGTGCGCCCTGTAGCTAAAACAAAACAGAGTAACTTCAGACGGTGTGAGCCAGCTCAGAGATGAGCCTGCCACGAAAGGGTCCAGTGGCCAGAGTGACAGCTGTGGCCCTGTGGGCAGAGACTAGACAGCTAGCTGCTCCTGGCTTGAGCCAGGGAAGTTCAAAGGGGGTGAGGGGAGGGCTGCCACTTCATGGGACACACTGCTTTGTACCTTTGGAAGCTCAGCCAAACAAGGCCCACTCGAACAGCTAGTCCAGAAGGCAGGAGGGGTTTGTAAGCATGGCCCATGGCAAAGCGTTTCACTCTCCATGCTTCAGTTTTCCCCCCTTCAACAGTCATCTCCACCAGACTTCCCTCCCCACCTTTCTTAACCCAGGGAGCACCTCCAAGGCCTGGGTGCCTCTGGGATGCACTTGGGGAAGACCCTCAACCCTTTCTTCTCAGTGAACAGCAAGCAATTCCCTACTGTCCTTGAGGAAGAAGGAAGTGTATCATCCCTTGACAGCTGTGGGAAGCGGGGGTTAGGGTGTCTAGCTTGTTACAATGACCCTGTGATCACCAGAGGCCTCTCCCTGGAAACCAATGTCCTCTCGGGTCCTGACTCCCAAGCTTCCATTGGCTACCTATGCCCTGCATTGGTTTCACCTATTAGAACTGCAACCCTTTGCTATACAGTTCCTCATGCTGTGGCGACCCACCCATTACTTCTGTTGCTACTTCATAACTGTAATATTGCAGTTATGAATTGCAATGTAAATATCCGTGTTTTCTGATGGTCTTAGGTGACCCCCTGTGAAAAGGTCATTCAATACCTAGCAGGGTCAGGGCCCACAGGTTGAGAACTGCTGTACCGGGTGGGCTTGGAGGATCTTTCTCAGGGTGTTAAAACAAACTTGGACATAAAGGATGGCCAGGACATCCCTTCAGTGAGAAATTCCTTCCTTCTTCCTGACTCTAACCATCAGAAATTCTCAGGGTAAGTAGACTTTTTAGACATCTGCTTTCCACAGTAGCTAGTAAAGAAAACAACACACACTAGTTCACTTTGAGGATCGACAGCTAATGTCCCCTAATGTCCCCTGTCAGCATGGATGACACCCCATAGCAGAGGAGCTTTCAGAATATCTAGGCTATGGTGACCTGGCTGTGCAAGACCCTCTCCCAGGTGCACAGCAGAGTCCCAAGTTCTCAGCTCAAATCCACTGGCTCAGGCTTCCCTTCTGACAATTCCCTTGGAAACAGGGAAGCTTTCTTTCTCATGCCTTGGAAGAGAGGTCAACTGTCTTGACCAATGCCAGGTTGCTGGTTTACCATCAGGACACAGGGTGGACAAACACATTGCTCACATCTTCACACTGAAGACGAAGGTTGTTTTTTGATTTTTTTTTTTAAACCGTAAGTCACTGAATTTATTGTTTTTCCGAATGAGAGTTAGGCTGGATTGACATTTTAAATCTCAAAGTAACAGCCACTCTCCAATTCTAGGCCACATTCTCTCTGCTGTACATGGGTCATGTGGGGGTGGGGTGGAGGTGGTACGCATGGACAGGCAGACCTGGGATGTTCAAAGCCTCAGCAGATGTTTGTCATCTTTCTCAGGAGACCACTGGCATGGTAGAGGACTCCTCCACTGAGTCCAAGTGCACTAGATGCCTGATGTTCACCCCAGCCTGAGAAGAGTCTCTTAGACCGTCCCTTAATACCGACCTACCCAGCCAGATTAGAATATTGTGTTCATGGGGCTGGGGAGATGGCTCAGCAGTTGGGAGCACCAGCTGCTCTGCCAGAGGACCTGGGTTCAATTCCCAGCACCTACATGGCAGCTCACAGCTGTCTGTAACTCCAGATCCAGGGCCTCTGACACCCTCACACGGGTGTACATGCACGCAAAATACCAATGCACAGAAAAATGAAAGATTAAGAAAGATAGACTGTTGTGTCCATTAATTCAAAACACGCTTCCAACAGAGAAGGAAGGAGAGCCTCTGTGACTCCCAGGAGCTGCTCCCTTCCTGCAGGAGGAATTCAATTTGGAGAGGAAATGGAGAATTTCATCAGATCTTAAGTAGGAGCTGGTGTTTGATTTATTTCTGCTTTTTTTTTTTTTTTTTCCCCAGGGAGGCCTGACCAGCAGAAGGCCCATCTTGGTGCTTAGAGAGAGTGAGCAAGCACTTAGCAGTTTAAGCCAGAAGCTGCAAGCCTCTGTAACAGGTCATAGCAGGCTGAGTGGGCAGGAAGGAGGGTGAGAGCTGCTGCCTCCGCCCCAGGCTGAGTCCTCAGTGGGGTGTGAGGTAGGAAAGGGCAGGGGGGGGGGGGGGGGGGAGAGGAGTGGCCAAATGTACTTCTGCAGATGTTTTGTGTAGACATATTTACTAAGCTGGAACGTCTAGGAGACTCAACATTTTTCTAAATTTAATCATCCATGTGTCTGAGAGGAAGAGAGAACCTAGAAGAAGGCAAGGAGCTCTCTCCCCTTGCCAGGTTCCACGTGGATAGTTCCAAAGATCTTAGAGTCAGTTGCATAAAAGCAACTCTGACTTGCATGGTTTAATAGCATGCTGACATGGTTTGGACAACTGATATATACAGGCATAGGAGGCTGGAGGCGATCTCAAGAAGAGAACACTCTCAGGTCCATTCACACCTGCTCCCTCTTTCCTCCATAAGCTGCTGTGTAAATGCCTGCTGACACCAGCCAGTACATTTACCAGGAGCTCCTGCCCCTGGAGTCAATCCCTCAGTCCCTCTTCATTGGCTGTGGTCTAATGTAAAGATTGTGTCTGTCAACTCAAGGGCCACAATAGATGGCCTCAAGGGCTGGCAGAATTTTCTCCCCTCTACCTCAGTGACTAGTCAACAGTGAGCGGCCATTTCCCATCTTCCTCACCTGAGACTCACTGTAGTGGACGATCCTTCAGAGGGTGGGTGTGGAAGATGATCAGTTTCCAAATTAAAAGACTTCTGAGCAGCTAGGGGGAAAGTTGGTACATCCAACTTTTTTTTTGGGGGGGGGAGGTCTGGAGAACTGCCCTGGAAAGTACTTTCCAATTAGCACCCACTGGAGCACACAGATGACAAAACATGGTTGTCTCTACCCCTCACCTCTCAAACAGAGCAATGATGTTTGTTCCCACAGAGCTAATCAAATGAGCCTCCACCATGGCACAGGACAGGCCTTAATTTAATAGGATGATTCATTTAGCTTTGTCCCAAAAGGGCAGCACAATGATAGACCCAGAATTATAATATGGAATACACTATATACAAGATTCCATCATTTGTGGTTGTGTGGACGCCTGGAAACTGCTGCATCAAGAGGCAAGTCTGGACAGACAGCCTGCAAACACCTTCAACCAGAACAGTTTGATTGTGGCTTCCTTTGAAACACACTCACTGGGTCCACCAGTCAGACCTTCATGTGATTCCCCATCTAGAAAAGGCAACCGGGGGATTTCCCCCAACGCAGTAGACACATGGCTAGAAAGCAGTAGATT